TTATAAATTTTAGATGTTTACATATCAGTACATTTTTAAATCACTTTTAAAAACTGCATAATGGTCCACTTATGTGGACCTAATTTACTCCTAATGTGCCTAATTTACTGAGCCACTGTCTCATGTGTGCTAGAATATTTCATGTCTCTGATGTGTGCTAGAATATTTCCATCCTTTTTATAAACAATAAACACAGAACTGCTGGGCTAAAGAATGTGTGCGTGTTCTGAAGATATGTTCAATCACTCTCCATTGAAGCTATGTCACTGCAGATCCACCAGCGACGAGTGTCTGCTGACATGGTATGTTATAAAAGTGCTTCAAAAGCACACAGCACTCTAATATTGCTCTGCAGTTCTTCTTATGAGTGTCATTGAACATCTTTCTACAGTTTTGAGAGTCAGTCACATTCCTGTTTAGGGTTTTTTCATAAACCACTCATCTATTTTCAATTTTTTATAGTTGTTGGTCTTTCCATGTGGTTTTATAATAGTTCTTTATGATCTTGGCTCAGACTCTCTAGGAAACAAAGCTTAGATGCTAATGGTTTATTGAGTGAGTGCAATCCCAAGATAACAAAAGTGAAGGGAAAATAAAAGTAAAGCCAAGAAAGGAGGAAAATCACAAGTTGTCACCTCATCAAGTGGACCGCAGTGTCATGAGCCACAAATTGCTCAGTTAAGTGAATGTCAAAGGTGAGGGAATGTGGTGAAGGAGTTGAGAACAATAGACCCCACAATGTGCTGCCCTGGTGCGCTGGGTACTTAAGGCTGATGCCACTGGACAAACTGTCACTACAGCAAGTGCTAACCCTCCTTTTCATACTTTTACCAGGCTATAAAGAGTCCTTTGGTGTTCCCCAAACAAACAAAGAAACAAACAAACAAGCAGTGTTTATTACCAGACTGGGAATGTTGGAGCAAGAGAACTAATAAACCCAGTAAAGTGACTTTTTCTCTCCATTACCTTTGTACCTCCCCGGTACAGTTCCTCTTAGTGACCACCCTAGAGTTCATGGCCTCTAGCCCAGGTCCCTTATTTAGTCCTGCAATTTCTTTATAAATTTATTTTTCTTTGCATGAAAAGCCTAAGAGCTTTCTGCTTTGTCCATCTCTTTGGATCTTTAGTTCCTATGATAATCCCATTGATAAAACACTAGTGCATCCCTCCAGAGAATCTGTCTTGTATTCATTTGACTGTGTTAGACCCAGATGAGGATTCTACCTAAGATCTGAGATGGGCAGAGGATGATCAGTCCTTCCTACTATAGGAGTGGGGAGGAGAGGATTTCATTGCAGCCTCTTGTCAACATGTGTTTCACAGGACAATGGCTGTGTTGCCGTTATGAGCTGCACTTCCCTGATTTGGTAGAGAAGCTGGAGCTCACATTCAGTCATCATCAGTGCAGTTGTTGTCCTTGCTCAGGCTTCATCCCAGTGCAGTACAGAATGATGATAAACATACAGATGCAGTAAAGTATAATTAGTATGTAGAACACTCATTTGTTGTAGTCAACATTTTTCAACTCTTACTAAACCTACTGTTACCTACTGGGTCTGAGAAATGATTTCTAGAAGGGAGTCATACAATTGGAGAGCTAGACTTGATGTTGAGCTATTGTCCATTTCACAGAGGGCAATAACGGTCACGTAATCCACAGTTTGAATGCGATTAGTGATACACCCATCTCTTTAGTTTTACCAAGACATTGTTAATTACGGAGACATCATCCTATCTTGATGTATTACGGTTTAAATTATAGCTTCTCTCCCTGGAAAATGTTGTAAAATACAATGTAGCTTTAGATGTGCTATTTTTACTTGGCATGGTATGTGGGACATTCTCAGAGGTATTTAAAGAGGGAAAAAAAAATGTCCAGCAAGACAGGAATGAATAGAAAAAGCATGTTTAAAATAAACTGGACTTCCAAGACAACCTTTGCCCTATAGAATTAACCACTTCCTTAACGGTGGTCCATCCTCTCAACCATCTTAACCACCAAAGTAGCTCTTACATTCTTCCGCAATAATCCCCATACAATTTTAATGGCATCTGGCTAATTATGGTCCTTCTTTCCTGTTTGGAATGTAGATTCCATGAGGGCACAAACTGGAAGAGACTATCTCAGTTTAGGCCTATGGCTTTGAATAAAACCCAAAATAAAAAAAAAAAGTTGTTTAAACTTAAAACACATTTCTATATGGCTGATATAAAGAGCAACATAATGAATCAACTCCAACTGCCTCCTTTGAAAGCCTTACCTGATACTGCCATAGCTCCCTTCACCCCACCATTCTGAACTCTGGGGTCCTCTTGTCCGATTCCCCCACTTCCCTATGTATGTGTCCATCTTGTCTACAAGAGAGGGAGCTCTTTGAAGATACAGGCTGTTTTAATCATTTTAAGATCCCTGGCACCTAATACAAACTCAGCAAACATTTGTTGAGTGCTAGGCAGTGGTGGTATAGGTCTTTAACACAGCATTCAGAAGACAGAGGCAGGTGGATCTCTGAGTTCGAGGCTAGCCTGGTCTGCAGAGCAAGTTCCAGGATGGCCAGTGCTTCACAGGGAAAGCCTATCTCATTAGAAAAAAGAAAAAAAAAAAAAAAGACTGTGGGACTGGAGAGATGGCTCAGTGGTTAAGAGCACTGTCTGCTCTTTCAAAGGACTCAGATTAAATTCTCATCACCCACATGGTAGCTCACAACAGTCTGTAACCCCAGTTCCAAGGGATTTGACACACTCACACCAATGCACATAAAATAAAATTAATAAATTATTAAAAAAAACATTTGTTGAGCAAGTGAACAAACGAATGAATGAATGAAGTGCATTTATTGTGGCAGACTAAGTGAAAGAGCCTGAACATCATAGGAAGCAACTAGTGTGTTTTATCATCATGTTCAGAAAAGAGAGATATATCTTTGGGGAGAAAATGTAGGTAAATAGAAAGAGTGTGCTCTTTGGAAATCAATTACTTGAGTTGTGATTCTAAATCTGCCCTTGCTTTGGGTAAGTCCCTTCTCTTTTTCGAGCATCAGTTTCTTGGACTATAAGCAGAAACACATAGGTGGGTGATAGCAATTGGAAGGTCCCACTACAGGACATGGGATGAGGTTACAGCTGTGCTCTATACTATGATTATTCACAGTTACTACTATTAAGAGGTAGTGAGTGGATCTGGAGAGGTGGCTCAGCAGATAAGAGCACTGTCTTCCACAGGACCCGGTTCAGTTCCCAGCACTCATGTGGCCGTTTACAATAGTCTGTAACTCTAGTTGCAGGGGATCTGACTCCCTTATAAATGCAGGCAAAAAAAACCAAAAAGCAAAAAACAATGTACAGAAAATTAAGAAATAAACACAGTATTAAAAAGTAATAATCATTTAGTTGGGGCTGGAGAGATGGCTCAGAGGTTAAGAGCACTGGCTGTTCTTCCAAACATCCTGAGTTCAATTCCCAGAAACCACATGGTGGCACACAACCATCCATAATGATACTCGGTGCTCTCTTCTGACATGCAGACATACATGCAGGCAGAACACTGCATACATAATAAATAAATCTTTTTTTTTTTAGTAGCACACATTTTAAATTTTTTTATTTTTAATTTCTTTTCACAATTTTCTCATTATATATCCCCATTAAATTCCCCTCCCTCAACCTCTCCCAGTCCTCTCTCTTCTCCTCTATCCCCTTCCCCTAGTCCACTGAAAGGGAGAGTTCACCACCATTACCATCTGCCCACAGCTTATCAAGCCTCTTCAGGACTGCCTAGATCCTCTTCCTCCATGGCCTGGCAAGGCTGCATCACCAGGAACAAGTGATCAAAGAGCAGGCAGCCAAGTTCATGATAGAGGCAGCCCCTGCTCCCCTCACTCGAAGAGCCACATGGAGACTGAGCTGCCAATAGGCCGTATCTGAGCAAAGGGTCTAGGTCCTATCCATGCATGGTCCTATCCATGCATGGTCCTCGGTTGGTGCATCAATCGCTACAGAATCTCCTGGGCTCAGATCTTTTAGCTTTGTTGATCTCCTTGTGGGGCTCCTGTCCCCTCCATGTCCCTCTTTCCCCACACCCCTCCTTTTCTGTAAGACTCCTTGTGCTCTGCCCAAAGTTTGGCTGTGAATCTCAGCATCTGCTTCGATCCCCTGTAGGGTGGAGCCTTTCAGAGGACTGTCTATAGTAGGCTCCCATCCTGAGCAACAGTAATTAAAAACTGCATAGTACTACCATAGAAACAGACCGGTAGATCAATGGAATCAAATAAAAGACCCAGAAATAAACCCACACACCTACAGACACCTGATTTTTGACAAAGATGCCAAAACCATACCATGTTGAAGATAGCATCTTCAACAAAAGGTATTGGTCTAACTGAAAGTCCACATGTAGAAAAATGCAAATACCCCATATCTACCACCCTGCACAAAATTAAAGTCCAAGTGGATCAAAGATCTCAACATAAAACCAGACACACTAAATCTGTTGGAAAAAAAAAAGTGGGAAAGAGCCTCAAACTCATTGGCACAGGAGGCAATTTCCTGAACAGAACAGCTCAGGCTCTAAGGTCTACAATTAATAAATGGGACCTCGTAAAACTGAAAAGCTTCTGTAAAGCAAAGGACACTGTTAACAGAACAAAATGACAGCCTACAGGCTGGGAAAAGATCTTCACCAACCCTACATTCGCTAGAGGGTAATATATAAAGAACTCAAGAAATTAAGACACCAACAAACCAAATAATCCAATTAAAAGATAAATAAATCTTAAAAAAAATTAAAGGTAGTGAGCAAGGCTGAAGCACTATTATATTTGTAGTTGAATGGCTCTCAAGGAGATAATTTGGACAGAAAATGAAGTGGTATGGAAACATTCCCGAAACCAAGGAAGCAACAGTCATTCAGTGTGGAGCACTAACTCTGACAGGCACTCCACACACATCTTTCATTACACATGTATGGCAAACCTTAACATCAGTACTACCACTCCACTTACCAAAACAAGTGTCTCTGAGTTCCAAGGTCACAGAGCTGGCAAGTGGTGGAGTCAATTTCAAAGTCCAATCCATCTGATTTCAGTGCATGCTCCAGGCTTAATACATCTTTCTCTGAGCAAATAAGAAGTCGAGCATATTGTGGGAATTAAATTGGATTAAAGCCTTTTTAACAACCTAGATTGTGTAAGTTAAGATAAGCTAAGATGCTGATAAATTACACAACTGTGTAAGCCTGTTTGTCATCTCCTATGCTTATCGCCTCTACTGTGTAAACATGCCTTAGCATTTTCAACAAGAGAGCTTGTTCTGAGCCAGATACCCTTCCCTGCATGCAAACTCCGTACTTAGAGAAAAAATGTCTTTACCTGAACCCACCTCATTCTGCGGCAGTGGTGGAACACTACCCTCTCACCGTCATAGTGCTATTAATCAGAATCGCCATGACTACTTGAGAGAGACCCTCGATGGAATCAAACAGGTGAAGCCTGTTGACATTTCCTCCTAGAAGAAGAGATTGAGGGTCACAAGAAGGTCACCTGAGGTTCCAGCCATTTCCTCCTATACTACCCCTTTCTACAGTTTAAATCAGGACTGACTTTTGATATTGTATATGTGTTTTCTAAAATGCATGGTTACATGCATATGCCATTGTATCATACAGAACACATTCCTTGCCCTGAAAACTTTTGTATTTTGCCAAAATTACAAAATCTCTTAAGCCCTTTATTTCATCAGGGATTTGCAGTTTTCCTCATTTAGATCTTACATATATTTTATTAGATTTGTTCCAAAGTATTTTGTTCTGACAGAAGTGAGAGAAAATGGAATTGTTCTGCATTTCAAATTCACGAATATAACAAATCTTTTCATAACTGACCAGATTGATATAATCCAAATGTTCTTCAGAAAATAAGTGGATAAAAAAATTGGTTCATCCATGTATTGGAGAAGAATAACACATTGACACATGACGTAACTTTGGTATATACTAAAGTCATTAGGCTAAGTAATGTAGAAACTGTAGAAAGAAAGAAGTTGTATGTACTTCTGCCCCAGATTCACAAGCTTTCAGACAGTGTTTAGGGGACATAGAGGATGAAACATTCATAGAAGGAGAGAAGCCCATCTATACATTCATGGGGAATGCACCATCCATCCTGGGATAAGAGCCTTTGCTGACGGGCTGTTTTGTGGTCACCCACATGCCTGTAACTAACCCAGCATCTATGCTTTTTTTAAATAACCCAATAAGCTCCTGGTTTGCCAAGCTAGACTAGAGTAGAACCGTTCCTTTGCTCTGTCATTGGTGTCCTATCCACAGTGAGTAGACACGTGTTCATATCTGCTCAGGAAAAAGTCCAAAAGTAGACAGTGCCCTTGTCTTTGGGAAAGCTGTCTTTTAGGGGACTTTGTTAGGCTTATGTAACACACAAATAGAGAATTCTGCTGTTTGCCTTTTCCCAGCCCCTATCAGATATTTACTTTCTCATACCATACATTCTCAAAACACATAAGCATCGATGCCCCCCAGGCCCCACTGGCCAGACCTTCATCCTGCTTCAACCCCTTTCATCCTTTCTCCTAGGACACAGGCTTTCTTAGTCAGAGATTTTTTTTCCTACTACAGCAAAATTTAGAAGCATATTCTGAATTCCTGTGCAATGTTTGCTGATGCTGCAGCTGTCCTCTACTCCAGCCAGACGATCTTTAAAAGGCTCTGATCACCACCGGTGTACCCCGGATTGAGAGGTCACTTGACACAGCCGGTCTAGCGCCGTCACTTACAGCAGTGGTGTTCAGGAAGAGGGTGGTAGAACAGGAAGGACTTCTTTGAAAATTGTCCGTTTGTATACATGACTCCCCTACAGAGAGTCTGGCCAGAAATAAACATAACTTTCCCTGTGTTTCTCCTTCACAGGAGGAGCATATGGTTGGATACAACTGGCTTCTCTGAAAACCTTTCCAAAGAACACAATCTAGTTACTCAGCAAATATTTACTAAGCAACATGGAAGGAGAAAGAGCATTCCAGCAAGAGGCCGGTGAGAGGGAAGAGACTGAATACACTACAGAGGAATAAAACAACAAGGGCATGCCCGGGGTACAGTGGGTAGTAACATTCAAGAGAAAGGGGAACAATTGGGTATAGCTTTGGATGCCTGGGAAAGGGCTCCAAGTTTACTTCAGTAGGTAAGAGAGACTCAAGAAAGACTCTGAACAAGTGATAGACATGATCAAAATGATCAGTAGAAGTAAGTGGGAACAACGTAAAGAATAATCCTAAAAATCAGCCATCAAAAGCTAAGTACCCAGCAGACTACCTAAGTCTTGACATAGATTGCCTTGCTGAATAAAACTGATAGTGTCCTTAAGGCACTGTGCTGGCCCAGATGTTTTTCAGTCCTCATTGCCATCTTCTAATTTGAGTGGTTATTTCCTCAGTTTGGTAGATAGTGCCTGCATTTAAAGGGTAAAAACACAGATATTGACATTACAATTCATAACAGCAGGAACACTACAGTTCTCAAGTAGCAATGAGGAGGTAGGGGATTTAGCTCGGTGGTAGAGCACTTGCCTAGCAAGCACAAGACTCTGGGTTCAGTCCTCAGCTCTGGAAAAGAAAAAACAAAAACAAAAACAGCCAAGAAGTAGCAATGAAAAATAATCTTGTGGGGTCACCACAATGTGAGGCACTGTATTAATGGGTCTCAGCGTCAGGAAAGTTGAGAACCACTGCTCTAGAGTAAAAAAACCAAACCCTGACACTTGTAGGGAAGAACAGCCATTGTAAAAAACCAAGGCCAGAGCACTGTGTTTAAGGATTGCACCCTAGGGAACTATTTCCTCAGAGTCACGCCTGATGAAGCTTTGCCAGTGTCTAATAACATGGGGAAGGGAAATACTGAGCTACAGCCACAGGTGGTTTCCTGGTAAGGATGTGTGGGTGGAGACTGAGAAGCACTGTGAGATAGTATCTCAGACATCAGGCTGAATTATCTGGTATATGACTGAGTATTCGCTCCCACTGTAGGCATGTCTGCATGTATGAATGGTCTCTTTCCCAGAGTTCCTTTCACTAGTACATCCCATCTGAGAGAAAAAGAAAAGTGAATGGTAATGAATAAATTACCATCAACAGTAACAAAACTATACCTATTTAAACTTCAGAAAAAAAATTTTAAATGTCAGAAGATAAAAAGCCTTACCTATTCAGGAGGAAAGGCATGAAACCATGCAAATGAGAAAAGAGTGGAGTGAAATGCTTAGCATGTTGAGAGGGGAAGTCTAGAATTCTGAGAAAGGAGCCTTCAAAAGTGAACGAAGTGGACACTGGGGCAGATACCTGCAGCCAGCTACACCTGGCTGAGGCAGGTAAAGGATAACTTGAACCCAGAAGTTCAAGACAAGCCTGGGCAACAGTCAAGATTCCATTTAAAAAAAGAAGAGCAAGTAAGAAATAAGACTTATTTATCAGACAAACAAAAACTGAGGCAATCTGTTGCCTGCCTTGAATGAAATGTTAAAAGACCTTCAGAGACAAGGCAAGGGGCACAGATCACAGACAGACCTACCTAAAGAAAGGAAGAACATCATAGATGGATGTTCTCTGTGTGTAATTAGAGTAATTAAGGTGAAGGTAACTGAAACTTCAATTTTTAAAGTCTTAGCTGATTAACAGAGAACAATTTGCTCAAGATAATAGCAATAATGTATTAAGCATGCTTGATTGTATAAACGTATGAATCAAAGGATAGGAGGAAGAAATTAGGGATATTTTGTTGTTATAAAATATTACAATATGAAAAAAATTTAAAAAGTAATGAAATATAAATATTTAAAATGAAGAAAAATAAAACATAGAAGAGGTATAGTAAATATGAATTTGGATTAGCTGTAAATATGTATTGTAAACTCTTGGGCAACCACTGAAAATATGTATTTTAGGGAAAAGTAAAAAAATATATTAAATAATTTTTACAAGGGAAAAAAGAGGAATTTGCAGGGGACAAGGTCTAGGGATACAGTTCAGCTGGTAGTGTGCACAAAGCCCTGGGTTCAACTCCTAGTACCACATCAACCAAGTATAGTAGCACATACCTGTAATTCTACCCCTTGGGAGGTTGATGCAGGAGGACCAGAAGTTCACAGACTTCAAATGAGGTCATGAAGGTAGAACATCCTCAATGAGATGGCTCAGCAGATAAGAGCATTATCTATTCTTTTTTTTTTCTTTTCTTTTCTTTTCTTTTCTTTTCTTTTTTTTAGGTTTACTTATTATGTATGCAGTGTTCTGCCTGCAGGCCAGAAGAGGGCACCACATCTCAGTACAGATGGTTGTGAGCCACCATGTGATTGCTGGGAATTGAACTCAGGACCTTTGGAAGAGCAGCCAGTGCTCTTAACCTCTGAGCCATGTCTCCAGCCCCCCAATGTCTATTCTTCCAGATGATCCAGGTTTAATTTCCAGCACCCATATGGCAATTCAACACCTGTCTGTAACTCCAGTTCCAGGGCTTCTGACAACCTCACACAGACATGCATGTAGGCAAAACACCCAATGAACATAGATAAATATAAACTATATATTTAAGAAAAAAAAAAAATATATATATATATTTAAGAAAAAAAAGAGAGAGACCCCAAAGCTTTCGCCACCATGTGAAGCTATGGGAAGGAAGAAACCAAGTGCAAGCCAGGAAAAGAATCCTCAGGAGAGCCCACCTGACCTTGGAGTTCCTCGTATCCAAAACTGAAAAATCCCTGTACATTGTTTAAGTCACTTAGTTGATGGTATTTTGTCATTTTAGCCTAACATGACCATGATAATTATCTAAGTTTCTACCCTGGAAAACTAGAAAATGCCAAGTTAAATCTAGAGTAAGTAGACTAAAAGATACAATAAAAATAAAAATAAGAGGCTAAGTCCATGAAACCCAAAACAGAAAATAAACATGGAGAAATCAGTGAAATGAAGAGCTCACACACTCCTAGTCTGGTTAACAAAAAAATAAAGAAAGAAAGGAAAAGGAAGGAAAAAGAGGGAGAAGAAAAAAGGAAAGAGAAATGCAAAAGAGAGAAAACAGAGAAGGTACAACTTCTTAATGAAGAAATGAAAGAAGTGACATTACTAGAGTCCTATGGAAAATATTATGAAGGGATATATGAACAACTCTGTATCCACAGATGTTTTGTTCAAGTGCTGGAATCAAAGGTGTGTGCCACCATGCCTGGCTACGCCCACAGATTAATAATCTAGACATAATGGACTAATTACTGGAAAAACGCAATCTTTCATAACTCATACAGAAAGAACAAGACAAACTGAATAAGTCTTTCTATGAAAGAAATTAAATCAATAATTAATAGCATTGCAAAACATAAAACCTCAGGCCCAGACAGTGAATACTATCAAACATTCAAGGTATAAAATTTATCAAATTTCTACAACTTCTTTTAAAAGACAAAAGCAAAGAGAACAATTCTTGCCTTACCCCAGAAAAC